CCAATGCTTTGTTCAATTTAAAATTGGCCGGTAAAAGGAATTGCGTAACCATTAATTATGATAGTGGTGTAAGTCCAATTTCCATCACGATGCCAAGCCTATTACATACGAAAAATATAAGGATATGCAGCAGCTATTACCTTATATACCTCCTGTGCATCATGAGTATTTCAAAACACTGCCACATGAAGAGCATAAATAATTAATAATACCGATATCTTGTGTTAAGTTTAACAATATATAAATATAATTAACGTTCAAAATAAAAAATGCTAATCCTATTTTATTTCTTGTTATTATTTATAAACAAAATTGGATTAATATGAGATATATTTTAAGTGATATTTGTTATTTCAAAATCGAAATTAAATGATATTTACAATTGACTAATTATGAAAGTGGTGTAAGTCCATTTGCAGCCTGGAAATTGTATATTATTTTAGTTAAATTCGCCTAAAAGAAATTTATATAATCAAATTACATATTGATAAATTAGTACAAACATTCCCAGACTTCACATAATTAACCGATATTTTTTAATTGTCAGATCTGCTAACATTCAATTTTCTCGAAACGAAAGAAAGTGGACTTGCACCACTTTCAAAATAAACGGTCCAATTTTAAACGTCGACTATTTAATTCTACAACAATTATTGTTTGTTTAGTGCTTGCAATAGAACGGGTCAAGAATCTCAATGCATAATGGCCGACGGTGTCGAGAAAGGCATACTACCGATTAACAGACAGTTCCCGGGACCGGAGATCAATGTATTGAAATAAATACATTAAAATTCGAATCGTTGCCAAACAGTCGGCAGATTATTCGAAGAAATCTATAATAGCTCGTAAACCATTCGGTAGGTGTGCAAAGGTGATATGGTCGTGGTGGACGTGGAGAATGAAGCACTGGGTACTGAAGCCACTATCCATTGGCACGGAATCCACCAAAATGGCTACCAATATTACGACGGTGTCCCTTACATCACGCAGTGTCCAATTCCGTCTTCGTCGACTTTCAGGTGAGACGCATTCAACGCTATATCGAACCGTTAATATTGCACGGAATAAAAGAAATTCGTTTAATTAATAATATATCAATAATAATCAAGGACAGAAACTGTAGAAAAATCGCAATAATTATAATAAATAAAAATAGCCTAATAATTATTAGGTCGAGTCATAAGCACCCACTATTTTTGCTCTCACCAAATAGACAAGGGTTGAAAATAAATAAGATAAAAGAAACAAAAGAAATAAATAAAAAACAAAGTAAATGTCTGATAGAAACACGGAAGTTATTTATGACTGGATCTAATATTATAGCGATGCTGATTGCAAGGCAAGATTTTGGGGCAGAATTCTTGAATCACGAATACGGTAAATTCTCTCCAATTGTCCCTCAGCTTGTGAAGAAAAATGGACAATCCGGGAAGAGGGGATACGATTATTTGTGCCTTGTGTCTCGTTTTTATACATAGTGCTTGGTAATCGGCAACTATAAAAACGAGCCGCAAAGCTCGAATAATCGTACCTCTTCCTCCTAAATTGTCCATTTTTGTGTACAAGTTCAGGAACAATTTGGAAGAATTTACTGTATTGCTCTAACTTTGAAATAGGATCGAATAGAGCACACATGAAACAACGAATGTACACGGATATGATATTATAAGTAGAAATATCGAGCAATGGTCGGACGCGACGGCCAATTATGCGAACTCCTCAAAGTTGCGCGCGTTTGAAACACCACATTGCCTTCTAAGTAAAACCTGCTTCCGCTTTAAAATTTGTTTCTAACAAACATTATTATTATCTCACTTGATTTGCTTCTGCTTAGATACCAATTCCTGTGCAACAACGCCGGCACACACTTCTACCATTCCCACGTGATGACGTACATGTTGGATGGCCAGCAGGGAGACTTAATTGTTCGAGACCCCGAAGACCCTCATCGATACTTGTACGATTTTGGCCGAGAATATGTGATGCACCTATCCGACTGGATGCATCACCTATCGGCGGAACGGTTTCCTGGTTACTATACGAACAGGCAGACTGCCGGTCAAAAGGCGGCAAATATACTGATCAACGGACGTGGAAGATGGACGGTAATATACAGAGTTTCTGAGATTTAACCCTTTGCGCTCGAAGCCAGTTTAACCGTGAATCTAAAATAATTCTTCTGATTTATAGTATCTTCAATTTATATGACAAAGTGCATTTTGTGTTAAACTTTTAACACAAAAGTTAAACTTTTAACAATTTTTGAAATCTGGACTTTGATAATATGAAAATGATTTTGGGACGTGAATTGACAATTTTTTAGTGGTGTCTCAGAGTCACCATTCGAGCGCAAAGAGTTAAAAGACTTCGAAGCTCTAACGCTTAGCAAGAATCATTGAGAGAGCACGTTCGCGCACTCAGGATCGGGAAACCAACCAGACCACGCCCGTGCTTTGGGAGCTTTTCTACGTCGAGGAAGGAAAACGGTACAGATTTCGCATAGTCAATTCATTTAGTACCGTCTGCCCGGCTGAAGTCGCGTTCCACAATCATAAATGCACCGTGATTGCAGTAGACGGTACCAACGTCAAGCCCAAAGAAGTGGACAAGGTGGTCATTCTAACAGGTAAAACGAATTTCCGATGTTGCAACTGTCCACCGACTAATAACGAGTCCCATTTTACTGAATCAAATCAGTTTAAATTGCAGTAGATTCTCTCCTTAAGCCATTTTCTTCTCGGGCGGCCATATTGTCGGCGAGAGTTTCTCTCGAAAATCGGCGCCACGGCGTTTATTTCTTCCCAAGTCCTTTTTTAATCAACTGCAGGTATAACTTTTGACTTTTCTCTTCGAAAATGAATGAAGCAGCAAACGGTGTACAGTAAATCTCCTGAAATTGTCCTTCAGCTTGTAAACAAAAATGTGAAAAGGAGATTGTCAGTAATTATAAAAACGATCCGCAAGGTTCGAATAATCGTATCTCCTCTTCCGAAATTGTTCATTCTGTTGTTTACAAGCTGAGGGACAATTTGAGAGAATTTACTGTATCTATTAATATGTTGCGAACTGAACGCAGACAGTTATTATTGTTTTATTTAATAAAGACGCGATTTCTTTAAGACTTTTAGTGAAGACGTGCGAAACATTTTTATTTACGTTAATAGGCGAACGCATGGATTGCATAATAAACATGAATCAAAAAAAGGATGCATACTGGATACAAGTCCGAGGCTTGGGTGAATGCGGCACGAGGGGTGTTCAGCAGTTAGGTCTTTTGTATTACGTTGGCGGTTCATCGATGACGCCGTTGAGGCCGGAGCCCGCATATAATGACATGCCAACCGGTGTTGTGAGTGTCAATGGCAAAATATACATTAATTTTTCCCAGAAATGTTCGGAGGTCGGAACTGAAATCGGCAGATCTGAGAATACTAAGTCGCGATTCTTCGGGCCTCGCGGTTCCTTTTTTGTAGAAACTCGGGACAGTCGGCAAAAAAGGCAGCAGTCAGCATGCCGGTGTACATTAATACGAATGCATAGTGATGCTAGAATAAAATCAATTACTTAATTTTTTATTTCTAATTTTTTGCCATAATTCGGAGGCAATTCGGAGAACACATGCCACGATTCGAAGACAATTCGGAGGCCACATGACACGATTCGACGGTCACGTACCTAGTACAGTAATCTCTTCCTAATTCGCGCTCAGATTGCGCACAAAAATGGACAATTTGCGAAGGGAAGATACGATTATTCGAGCCTCGGTCTCGTTTTTAGACGTAGCAATAAATTACATAGGCGCAGGACTAGAACAGGGAAATTCACAGCAACCCGAAATTTGGCATTACCTGGAGAAATTACTGTACTGTCCTGGGTTTCCTTCGACAGCGATGAAAGAGAAATGGTGTTCATCTCCTAATGTTTGAAAAAGAAAACGCATTAAGAGATGCATTTAGCTACTAGTTCACAGCGGATCTTTATGCGAATTTCACTTTTGTGCTTGATTCAGTGAAAACTGAAGTAAACCGAAATGCTCTTTCGTTGATTAATGAGATGATACAAAATAGGATACATTTTTATTTATTTGAATTAGATGCTTGTATGGAGATCCGCAGTCTAGTTAACGGATAAACGTCGGTCATTATGTACAGACATTAGATACGTTATGATCATTTACAACTTTCATAGAATTTAAAAAAAAAACGTACATGAATAAAAATCTGATTCAGGCTGATTTGTGATTTCTATAATTGTTAGACGTACAACGGATTGGATGCAACGCGATGCAACACACGCGACACCAGTTCCGTGGTTTGCGTGAACCAATTGGAAAGCGTAGAGAACGTGGACCCGAAAATCATGAAAGTCGAGCCGGATGAGCGGCATGTGTTGGATTTCTGGACCTACAGTTACACCCGAACTGACAACAAGCAGCTCTTCAGCAACAGCAACGCGTTTCCACTTTATTTTAGTAATCATCGCTCCAACAGAATTCTTATTGTTTACTGGGATTCGTTCTTATGCTTAATCCTTTCTTTTTTTTTTACTTATAACTTCGCTTTCGCTGGACATAGAAAGACAATTCGTTTGTTCTTCCAGGCACTGCTGTCGGGACTCAGTTGATCTCATTATTCAACGATATCTCGTTCGAGAGCCCGGCTTCGACGTTGCTCAGCGACCGACGAAGCTACAAAACTATCTGCAAAGACAATGTCCGCAGTACTTGCACGGAACCTTGCAGTTGCACACAAGTGATCAGCATACCTCTTGGCAGGACGGTGGAACTCGTGCTGTACGATAGATGTGAGCAATCCTTTCTCATTCAAATTTGCTTTCTTTTTTTTTATTGATTTAGAGTATTTGCAATCGATGATCAATTTACAATGGAATCACCAGTACATTTTTCTATTAGCTATTGAATAAATTTGTATCGATACTAGCAATTTCAGATTGAAAAGGGTACGACCCTTTAAATCTAATAAACAGATTCACTGAGTAAATCTAATATTATTGCAAATATAACGAAGATCACGTACAAGTCATTTTACTATAATGTACAATGATCTAATGTCCCAAAAAAGTCTCGCATTCAGGAAATAGGGGATTCCTGAGGTCATTTGAAGTAACTTTTTCCTCAGCGAAAATGCAATCCGCGGCTTTGTTTACGAGTTATTAACGAAAAACAGTGACCAATGAGAGACGAGATCAGCTGGCACGAGACGGCCGAGCCAATGAGCGGAACTGTGCTTCGCGCGCTCGCGTTGGTTGGACCACCTCGCGCAACCGAGCTCGCCTCTCATTGGCCACTGTTTTTCGTTAATAACTCGTGAACAAAGCCGCGGAATGCATTTTCGCTAAGAAGAAAGTTACTTCAAATGACCTCAGGGACTCCTCATTTCCAGATTGCAAAACTTTTTTGGGATATCCTGTATATAAATTACTCGTTCCAATAAAATTGCGTATAAAATAATCGTAACCTTGACTAATTAATTAAACCTTTTAGAATGCTAACAGCAAAAATGATTACTTTTCCGTTTACACAGCGAACTGTACTTTCTGTAAATTCTGTTACAGTCCCAGTTCCGGGTGTCCATCATCCGATCCACCTGCATGGTTACGAATTCAAAGTGATGACTATTGGGAACCTGACCGGCAGGGAGATAACACGGCAGGACATGGACAAAGTAATACAGGAGCACACGGAACGTCTTCGTCGAGGAGATTACAAGAACCCGCCTAGCAAAGACACTCTCAAAATTCCGCAGGGTGGATATGCCATCGTACGTTTCTGGACGAACAATCCAGGTAATGCGCGCGTTCCATCTACTGTAATCGCCTGACGAAATTTCTGAACGACTACTGCCGATCCACCGTAATTACTATACTGCGGATCTTTATGCATTTATGACAAAAATGATTTGGTCGAATACAATGCAGTAGAAACATTTATGGAATTTAATAATACTGATGCGCTCTGTCCAACTCATAAACATGGCTTTCATAGTTGTTGACAATCGGTAACTTCCTCTTCCCAAATTGTCCATTTTTGTGTACTAGCTGAGGGTCAATTAGGGAGGATTTTACTGTAAACCTCTATCTAGCTTATGTACAGTAAATTCTCCTCAATTTTCCTTCAGCTTGTAAACAAAAATGCACAATTTGGGAAGAGGAGACACGATTATTCGAGCCTCGCGGCTCATTTTTATAGCTGACGATTGTTAACAATTACAAAAAACGACGCGCAAGGTTCGAATAACTATATTTCCTCTTCCCAAATTGTCGAATTTTGTTTACAAGCTGTGAAGGAAAATTATGGAGAATTTACTGTATTCTGCAGTTAAAGAAGACAATTTTTATTTCGCATAAAGATTAATAATTACTATAGTAATTACTTGTTATTAGTATTAGTAATTATTATACCGCTGATCTTTATGCAGAAGACGAATTTTCTGAATCGGTTGCAACGAACACGTAATATTCTATTAATTGCTGTAGAAATGTACAATTTCTTAATTGTTCGTTCCCGATCGTGTTTGCTCGTTTCGAAAAGAAGATTTTCGTTTCGACCGCGCATCGATCGCCAATCGCGCGCGGAACTATTAATGATTATTATTCTGTTCTCCTGCAGGATGGTGGCTGATGCATTGTCATTTCACGTGGCATCATCTGACTGGTATGGAACTAGTGGTTCGCGTAGGCGAAGATATCGATCTTCCACAGGAACCGCCGGGTTTCCCGCAGTGCAGCAATTGGAAACCAGCGGTGGAACTGCTGAACGATTTCTACGCCGTCAGTCCTCATTGATCAGCGTACTCATTGTTGTTGCCTCCTCGCTGTACCTATCGATACATTTACACAATGTATGCAGATTACTGCGAGTCTGTCGTAATTCATCGTTTCGTGACATTATGCTGGCGGCAATAAAAGCAGGAAATATTTTCGTGTCTCTTTGATGGGTCTCCGACTTGTTGAAATGCTTCGAACGGGGATGCGACTTTTATTTGTCATTCGGTAACAGATGAGGTAGTTGTAGAATGTAGTTGAATTACAATTTAGTTGAATTACAGTGAAGTAGAAATACAATTTAGTTGAATTACAATGAAGTAGAAATACAATTTAGTTGAATTACAATGAAGTAGAAATACAATTTAGTTGAATTACAATGAAGTAGAAATACAATTTAGTTGAATTAGCAGTCGAATACAATTTAGTTGAATTAGCAGTCGAATTAACTAAAAACTTCGAATTTTCTGTAATAACTGAATTACAACGTAGTTGAATTGTCACGTAATTGAATTACAATGCAACTAAATTTCGAAATTCAATCACAATGTAATCGAATTAGCACAATTCAGATGACTAAATACGGTAATTTCTTCCAAATACGCGCTCAAATTGCGCACAAAAATGGACAATTTGGTAGCCTTGCGGCTAGTTTTTATAATTACCGATTGTCAACAACTATGAAAACGAGCCGCAATGCTCGAACAATCGTCTCAGCTCTTCCCAAATTGCCCGTTTTTGTGCGCAATCTGAGCGCGAATTAGGGAGAAATTACTGTATCGATCTTTACGAATCGAAGCCTCTGTAAAGAACAACAAGGAATGTCTTCGTTTAAGAATAAGAATCTTTGTTTAAGAAATCACGAAGCATTGTTACAAAGTGGGTGGATAAAGTATAAAACGAGCCGGGTGCATTCGGTGTGTACGGTTTATTTAATTTAGACAGTTCCTTTTATGGACGATGATTAAACATTGTCGGGGACGAAGTTCGAAGGGGAAAGTATAAAAATATCGGATATTCATGTTATAAATAACTTACGACAGCACGAGGTTCTATTGCTATGTAATAACTTATGGTTCAGTTATTTTCGAACACCATGTCTGGTTGCTTGTTGTTCCCGCAGGTGGGGAAATCTAGAGGAACGGGTATGAAACTCTCGGAATTTCCCACCTTCAATAAGAATTGCATACCAGGCCCGAATGTTCCAGGGGAGATCGCTGTACTTCGTGCTTCGACCAACCAGTACCCTGCAAAACAATTAACAATAAGCATTCGCAACAGTTTCATCGTAATGCAACGGTGGTTACTAAACTGCAGATTATTGTGCAACATAAAAATTGTCTGTATCAATTGCAATCACAAAAAATCGCATCTATATGGTGTCCCAGGTTTTAATGTCCAAACTTTGTCAGTGTATTCTATGGCACAAAGTAAGTAAGAAAAATATGTTATGTAAACATAGGTCATACAGAGCTTTATTAACACGTTCCGTGCCGAGCTCTTTTTACTCGAATCTTCACACTTTGATATTTTACTAAAACTTGATGTATTACGTGCAATTATTAATTCTCGTACACATAACAACATAACAAAAACTTATCAACGCCCATTCTTGCGGTGGAAATTGATTCTTCGGTTCTAAATTTCTTGAAAACAATTTGTTCAGTTCACTAAGTAAACATGCAAGCGTGTACCATCGATGGTACACGTGGCACGAAACGTGTTAAGAAGTTATAACAAAACTTCAGAATAGGAATAGTAATCAACTTGCTGTTACTGTGCGAGCATTGGCTTGAATAGATCAGCACATGCCGTGCGTTTATGTAAGCTGTGTTTATTAATACATTTCGAAATGTTTACCGTTGTTGACAATACATGATTGACATCGATCGAAGATCGAATTTATGACCGTG